TCCTCCTCCTCCTCCTCCTCCTCCTCCTCCTCTTCCTCTCAGTGTTGAACTGTAAATTCTGGTATATGAACTACACAGAGAACTGATTATAGGACAGTTTGAAAAAATCCATCATATCACCCCGTTCATGACATTTAATTTATTTTATATGTTTTTGCATATGTGTTTAGTGCTACAAGTAAGACTGAAATATTTATAATAATGAATTTTCCCATTGTTTCCTAACAGAAATTTCTGATGAGAAAATAAGTTGTAATTTCCACTGCAGCATAGTGGATTTGCTGCAGACCTGTTACCCAGATCTCACTGCGGACTGTATTACTAATCAGCTTGTTTTGTCACAACGCTTGGATGAAATCCTGCATAATCTGGCACACGTAGATAGTTTTTCAGGTATGTATCTGGGCGAATTACCTTTTTTTGCTCATGAATGTTTAACTCTATTATTTGGTACGAAATGTATTTAGATTTATGCCTGAGCTACACGATGCTCAAGGCATCTTCCAAAAATAGATTTGTAATTAAAATGGGATTTAACATTTCAATCAATAAAAGAACTGTTAAATCCTTGCAATATAAAAATATAAATACAATAGCCATTCCTTAATTCTTTCAGTTCAATATTATTGCAAATCTATTATTGATGGAAAGAGTTGGATTTCTCAGATTTGTAATATCTAATCCTTTTTGTTTTTACAGACTCCAAGGGAAACATGCTTGCTTCTTTGGTAGAACAAGCTATTCTGAAACCAGCAGAATTAGAGGCACATCCAGTTTGCAGTCAAATCAAACATCTTCTAAAAATCTTGGATCAATACGCTGTGACTATGCCAGAGGGATATGGGCAGACTGCCTATGTACAAATATTTTTTGATTATATTAACAAGCTGGCCGCCATTATCTTTCGAAGCCTCACACCAGAAATAGGTGAGAGATTGCACCCTATTGAAGCAAGGTATGTAGGTTTAGTTCAAGAAGATCCACTTTTAGTAATGAAAGAAAGCAGATCAATAAAAGAGTGGATAAAAATAGCATATTAACAAATAGGAACTTTAAATGATTGCATTCATTTTTGCCTATATATGAGTCCACACCGAACTATTCTGCTATTTTAAGTATATTTTATTAAGCTAGTTTGGTAAAATCTATAAACTAATTTGCAGATGTGTAACAGAAATTGGAATACTGCAAAAAGATCATAACAAACTCTAAGCATTACTGCATGGCAAGAAATGTGGAAGATGAGTTTGGGGACATACAATGAGACAAAGTTGAAACCAATACATTCTTTTTTTAATAACTTTTTTTTGCTTCTAGATCAATCTGCAGAGATCCAAGTTGGAAATCCATTCATTTTGCTCCAACAAAGTCCATCTCATTTGCTATCCCAGCTTCTATTTGAGAAACAGATTGCTCCTGACAGGTAAGGGTCTTTCATTTAGGTGCTCAGTGGCTGAACATGCTTCTTTGGAAATATTACAGGTAGTTCTTCTTTAGTAACTGTGTTGTGGCCCGTCTGCAACCAGCAGAGCTGGCAGCAGATTCGGACAGTGAGGAGGTTGGGGAGAAGATGGGCCAGTCCTGAAGTCTGGGAAAATCTCTGATGAGTGCTCTGCATCGGAGGCAGAGATAGGGCCAGGGCCGCCTGACAGTTATCAGCTACCTTTGTAGTCAGACATCACTAAGGCAGACGAATAGCTGGAGCCTGTTCTTAGTGTGTGCATGCACAGAGTTGCTGGACAAAGGGAACAGCTAAGGAACAAGGTTGACTTGGGTGTAAGGCCACAGGTGGACGGTGAATGGCCCCTCCCAAAGGGAATAAAAGAGGACTGAAAGGTCAGGGGTGTCTGCAGGAAACAATTGGTTATTCCTGCATTCTTGCCAAGTATTGCGGGGTCTGAAAGATATCAGCCTGGTCACTCTCCAAGCCTGATAAAGTTTGGTAATTGTGTACTATCTTGAAAGACTGTGGGAAAAGAAAGACTTTGCTGGAGAGGAATTCACTGCAAATCAGGGATAGAAGAGCCAAGGTGGCGCAGTGGTTAAATGCAGCACTGCAGGCTACTGCTAGATCAGCAGTTCAGCGGTTCAAATCCCACCGGCTCAGGGTTNTACTATTACTTTTCGTGATCTTGTTGCTATCCCCCTGTTGATGCAGCCTAGGACTGCATTGGCTTTTTTTGGCAGCTGCAGCACACTGCTGGCTTATTCTTAAGTGTTGATCTAATAGGATATGTAGATCAGAGGTGGGTTGCTACCGGTTCGCACCGGTTCGGGCGAACCAGTAGTGGCAATTGCGGCTGGGTCGTCAAACCAGTAGATGCCCCCAAACGGGCTCCTCAGTCACCCATGCTGTTGCCGGCATGTTTTTTGACATTTTATAATGTTCTGCACATGCAAAGAACAATTTAAAGGCAACTGCACATATGCAAGCAACATGGCAGGCATGTGTGGACACATGGGTGAAGCAAACCGCAGTAACGCCGGCAGCAACCTACCCCTTGACGTAGACCCCTTTCACAGTACTGTAGAGCCAGTACATGTGGGGGGTTTTCTGCCTAAGTTCAGTAGCTTACTTTTCTCATCACTGAACTGCAGCTTATTGAATAGCATTGTCTCATTTAGTCCTAATAGTCAAAAGGGAGAAAGAGGACATTGAATAGTTATAAGTTATAGGTCTAAATAAATTCTTTGCAGCCCATGTTGAAATTGACTACTTTTGAAGACCTTTTAGCTGGTGTTGCAAGAGCTGGAAAGATCCTGTGACAATAACTTTGCACATTAATCATCTGGACCAGTATACAATCAGAGCAATAGCTTCCAGAAACCAATCTGTCTTCAAAAGCCAAGTTCATTACTAAAAGCAGAGCAAATGTATTATTTTAATTTAGCAATACCCTGATATCCTTCTGTTTTTCCAAGGAAGTCAAAATGAGACATAAAATTCATCTCCCAATTTTACAATCCCTAAACCATTTGAGAAAAATTAAAATCTGATATAATAACTACTTCTTTAACAACTGGCAATCTGGTGTCTTTTTCTGCCACACTGAACAATGCAGCATACTGAATTTCATAATAGATGGGAAGCATTATAATGCTCAATTGGGGGGGGCAAAAGTTTTTAAAATATTGTTTAGTAAATTGATCTCATCCATCTTGGTGGGGAGGGGGGAGAATGTATACAACATTTAACTCCATTTAATAAAACAAGTAGCAAATGACAACTTTTAAAAATATTTTCAAAACAAAACATAAAGTTGTAATAGTTCTAATGCAATAAAGTATCAATTTTAGGAAATTTTATACTTTGAATGACAATAATCAATCAGTTTTAAACACAGATTATTACTATAAGAAATTTAGCCTAATTGTCATAGCAACTGACACCAATACCTCCAATTTGTTGCCCAAATTAAAAAAAGAATGAAGGCTGCCAAGCTTGAATATAATATATCTCAATACTCTCATTCAACTATTTTAGCCTTCTTTCAGAAGTATTAAAAACATAAGAGACAGAAAAAAATCAGTAATTCTAGTTTGTTCTTTTTCAACTAGCTAATTGTCTCCAACAGTTCCCACCCTCCCTAAAATAGTATCTATCCTTTTTACACAGACCATTTTAATATATTATACCCAATCAGAATGATACCCAATGAGCATGTCAAGGCTGATAATTGTCAATAGTTATGTTCTGCAAAGAGAATCAAAGACCTACCTAAAATAGCCAGAACTACCAACTCTATTTCCCAATGAATATAGGTTGGCGCAAGATGTGTGGGATAATGGACACAAGAGAAGCTAATGTACCTTCACCTTCTGCTCCAAGGTATTTTCACCTTCTACTCCAGCATTCAGTATCACCACTCCAATAGCAAAAGTAAAGTTGTGAAATGAGACTGAGAGGATATAGTTTAAGAAATGCAGATTGATTTCTATATCAATATAATTAATAAATAAACAATTTATTGCCTAAATGTACTATTTAAATAAAATCAAGTCAAGTCAATATATTTTATAAACATACCTGTAGTTTGGCATGGTGCAAGGTACAAAACCAAGTAAAAAGCTTATGAGGCTATCTCTCTGCCATATAATAACATGTTTTGCAGGGTACTCACTTCATGTTAAGTACCACCACCACCCCGACACTAAATTAGGGAAGATGGAGAAACATAATCAATATATGTTTTCTCTTCTCAAGTGTAAGGAATTGTTCTTAAAGCAGAAAACACCTTCCTGTTATAACCCTAATGGTTATGACCACTTGTTATCAAAGTGGTGTCAACATGTTAGAAATTCCAGGCAGAAGTAGTAGGTCCCATTTAGAACAGTGAACAAGAAAGTTATAGAATGTAGAGTGGCCTATCACAATTGAAACAAAATACATAATAAAATATTATAGCCTGAATTAGATTATACATGATCATTATGTTCGTAATCTAAAATAATTTAACTGCACCATTGTCCAAGGACTGTTTAGAATGGAATTAACAGAGTGGGAAGGGACCTTGCAGATCATCTAGTCCAGTGGTCTCCAACCTTGGCAACTTTAAGACCTGTGGACTCCAACTCCCAGCAAAGCTGGCTGAGGAACTCTGGGAGTTGAAGTCCACAAGTCTTAAAGTTGCCAAGGTTGGAGACCACTGATCTAGTCCAACCCCCGGCCCAAGTAGGAGGTGAGGCAAGAGCTCCACCTCTAAGCCAAAGCAGCAAGAATTAAATTTGTGAACAGCACACTAACCATAGAGAATACTATCCTAAGGGAGAAGAACCAACCATTTTCCAGATTTTCTTTCTTTTTTTTTCTTATGGATGTAATTATGTTTAAACACTCACATGGAGAATGCAAAATGCAAATATCTTTGTATAAGCAATATATTTCTCATCTCGCTTAACTAATCACTATATGGGTAGATTGAGACACAAAGATGGGAGGAAAGCATGAAGGCAAAATTCCCTAGTATTATTCTAGTGGTAAAAAATAGATTTCTTGGATGATGAGATATGGGGAAAACCAAAAAGAGAAAGATAAAATACCCATTTTCCCTATGAATTGATTCATTTTGCAAAGACTTTGGAAGCATAAAATGTCTAACTAGACTGAGATTTTTCCTTTTTAATTGACAGAGTTTAATCTTACAAATCTCTTTGAATACTTTGGAATGTGCCACCTTTTGCCCTTGTTAATAAATGCATATGCAGTCTGATTCCTATTGCCTTGTGTAAGCCTCTGACTAGATACTATCCAATAGCTTTAAACTGGCCAGAGAAAATTTGGGTAAATTTGTTAAATGAGAAAATTACAGAAAATCATAAATCACATGGTGTAATACATCTGTTTAGGCTGAAAAATTGGATGTTTGTGGCTTCTTGGGCAACAGATTGAATTATATACATTTTACATTTAGCAGTCATTCTAAAAATCCAGCCATTGGATAGAATGAACGCCTATCACCATTTAAATTGCTCTTGGATTTATCATTGTCTAGACAACACTTTAAGAAAACGCTGCAGAGCTAATGTCTTTAGAGGCCAATCAGACTACAATAGTTTCTTATAACTATTTATTATTAGTTGTCAGCTTAAAAAAAAACAATTTAAAAAAGGTATGCATGTGTTATATTATGCCAAACACAACAAACATATTGCATCTTCTGAGATAAATACTAATGCCATGCTGAAATACTATTTGTCCTGCCATTATTTTGGGAAAAAATCAAAGCTGCTGTTAACCTTTTTGAAAAGCCTTGTTGTATTAGAAACACACTTTCAGGATGAAGGGCAGAATAAAAGCACAAAACTGGACAGTGCCAATGTATGACGCAAATAAATTAATGTGTGGCACTGATGTACTATGTTATTACCAAATTTTAATTAGGACAAATGTTTTGCAATACTTTATTACAAACAGAAATTTCTGGGGAAAAAATGTCAGACTGTTAAAATATCCTACAGAGCTGAAAAAGTGCAATGCCTAAGCTATTGCTTCTTCATTAGAGTTCCTGCTGGTTTTAGAGCATAAACCAAATCACAGATTTAAGGCTTCATGATTCTCATGCGATGATAAAAAAAAATGAGGTAAATACTTGCTTTAATGAACCCCTGATTCATCTGAGCACATAATGATTTAATCATTCATATTCACATTCATACATACATTTCAACCAATTCCATAGTACACAGTCTGAGAAAGCCATTAGCATAAGCTCATTTGCTCACTCAATAATTTTACACACAAATGATGCTTCTCATTGCAATTGATAACTTTTTTCCTATTATATATTTCAAAAATAATGATTTAACAGTATCTTTTCTATATAGAAATTGGTAATTGAGTAATAACAGTGTTGGTAAATATTGCATTTTCAAAACAGGTTCAAAAACACAATATGTAGAGCAATGCACTCCATTCTTTTTTTCAGAAAG